AGTGACAATGTGATATTTGTGTATGCCTAAAGTTTCCAAATGCATTCTCAAGCTGACGTGAATATGCCATTGTGAGTTATTTTTCTAGGCCCAAATCTTTACAAAAAGCATTGAATTCAACTGAGGTATATTCACCTCCCCTACATTTCTTATCTTCTTAATTGATGCCCATTTTGTAGTTCCACCATTGCTTTAAATTTCATAAAAATATTGAAGACTTCTGACTTGAATCTCATAAAATATACCTACACATCCTTGAGTAGTAATCTATGAAAGTCGAGAAATATTTGTTCCCATCGATGGCTACAATCTTCATTGGACCACAAACATCAGTGTGAATCAATTCTAGTGGCTTTCTAGCTTTACAAGCCTTTCCTGTCTCAAATGTGTCCCTGTGTTGATTCCCAAGTGCACAACCTTCACAACTCTCATCCATATCTTCTATTTGGAGTAGACCTTGTACCATTTAATGTATCTACAAGTTTTTAAATTCTGCATATTCAAATGGCCAAATCTTTTGTGTCATAACCTTTCTGAATCAACTACGCTTGCTTTCTTGTCATTTCTAATAGACATTTTAATTGTACTGGAATTTTTTTTCTTCATTTCAACCTTGGTAACCAAGTTTGACAATTTGATCTATCATCATATATTTCAACAACTTTGCCACTAAATAACAAAAAGTATCTATATATGCTCCATCATTTGTCTAACACTGAGAAGTTTTTCATCTAATCCAAGTACCAACATGACTTCCTTAATGTCTCTTCTACCCTTCTTAGGTTCAATAATAAAGGTCCCTCTGCCAACTGTTTTCACAAGATCTGAATTTCCCATTTTTACTATCCCAATGTATGAAGTGTTAATATCAGTGAGGAAGGCCTCATGTGCGAATATATTGATTACTACACCCACTGTCTATGTACCAAACTTACCATTTGTTTCACAACAGTAGCACTAAATGCACAAAACACATTTGTCTCTTCCTCCACTTGATTTGCACAGTTCACTTGTTGAGTGACATTTGATCTGCAATCATTCTGAACATGACCAAACTTGTTGCATTTATTACATTTTGATTAGCACAGTTTACACTGAGAGTGTTAGTTTCTTTGGTTTTCTCTATCACACTTACTATAGAATCATAAGCCTTAGTCTGGCTAATCAAATGTTTCTGCACTGTTCTTTCATTTGGCAAGTCTTCTCCATAAGTTTTCATTTGATTTACAACATCAAACAGTCTAGAGAAATAATCTTTAAGTGGTTCATCTTCTCTCAAGCGTGTATATTCAAAATCACGTCTAAGAGGTTGGAGTTTCACTTTTCTTACCTTCTTATCTCTTATGTATTTCTTGTTACAGGACATCCCAAGCTGACTTAGATGTATCTCATTTGCTATTCTGATAAAGATTGACTTTGAGACTATTCCTTGTGTTATTCCCAAGGCACGAGCATATTCATCATGTTCTTCTTCAAGGCAACCTTTTGTGCCATAGAGTGATCCTATTAAATAACATCATCTTCCATTTCTGGCAACTCATATCCCTCCTCAACCATATTCCAAATGTCATAGGACTAGAAAATGGTTTGTCATTCTAATTCTCCATTAGCCATAGTTTTCTCCATCAAACACTGGAGCTTTGAGCTCACCGTCACTCAATCCTTTTATCTTGGATTTGAACTGACACTTAGGGTTTCAAGCTCTGCTTGAAATTCCCAAAGATGGTGATGAGTGCACATAATTTTAAAGAGGTCTCGGCTATCAAAGTCTGCTTAACACAACAGCTCTTAGCAGCATATATATCTATCATTAAGGTAGGGTTTTAGGAAAGCACAATCAGCCCTTATTTCCATTGGACCTAGCTGACAAAATGCTTACCAACTCAGTCTGTATAGAACTAATCATAGCCCTTCATTGGAGCTTTTAATCTAAACTTTACACTTGTCAAATACTATCACTTGACTGAAACCAGCCGTTACAATTTAAAAAATAGTCGTTGGCTTTCTTTGGGGATGCTACTGCTTTAACTTCCATGAATTAGTTCCAGAAATCAGCTTAAGATCCAACAGTTAATTGATAAATCCCTGAAATAACGAGCAACATCTACTCATAAACTACTAATTGTTACAAATGAAAATAGGATGTTAAGGCATACTTACAAAGCGTGTATCATGGTGAGATTGGATATATAAGGAGCTATTTCCCCTGTTAATCTTGTTGAGGACATTCTTGAAAGGTTTTATAATTTTCAATGACAAAGTTTAGTTAATTGTAAAGTTATGGCGAGGGGCAGATTATAAGATATAGCCGAGTGACCAGTGGTCTGTGCTAGTTGATAATTTGTATACTACAATTCTGATCCTGCAAAACCTAATCTTACTAGTGAATGTCATAAATTATGTTTTCGTGAAGAGATACAAGGATATTATTCTTGGCTGTGGATCATTTTCATGATTGCTACAATTTAGACCTTCCCATGATCAGTAAATTTGAGGGGCGCATGGATCTCTTTGCCATTTTTTTATTATTTTATTTTCAGGAGCAAGTCTCTTTCACCCCCCATTTTCTCTAATTTTTTGAATATTTCCATGGAAATATCCACCGTATCGAAGAAATTTTAAACATTGGATACAATGAAAACATAATTCAGAACGACCACATCTATAAGGTTACATTGACAGTTTGCAAGTCTTGTTACGTATATCAACCACCGTTTAACCATGCACGTGGAAAACATAAAATTTGTTGTCGCTTATTTTATGGACACATATGACCCTTAATGGCCTCTAACCTTTTTCTTAATTTTGTTTTTCACTAAGGCTGGACCTAGGTTGTGGTCATACTCGCTAAATTTTGAGGCACAACATACATGCATCATAACTAGTGAACACTCTCGCTTCTCATATTAAGTGATTGCCTTGCACACCATATGAAAATAATGGGAAAGTTTTTTCAAATTTCACAAATTTCTGCAATTAAACCCTTGAAACAGAAATTGGAACATACTCGGTATTCTAGCACGTCAAAAATAAAGTTGTTTTCCACAACTCATAGCCCCAACATGAAACACAAACCCTAATTGAACTTCTAAGTATTAATTCGTCTTACAAACAACCCATATATTACCTAAATCATTGATATATGAACTTGGAATTAAACACGTTACCTTACTATGTTTGTCAAAGCTTTAGTTGCCGGAAAAAAATGGAACTTTCCAACCAAAATAGAAAATATGGCACAAACATCCTATCTTTAAGGATGAAACAAATTGTTGTGTTTGATTATGGAATAATAACACACATAGCTCACATATCTGAGCTCGATGTCACTCTTCTTACCTCTCTCTCGACATCCCTGTGTTCAAAATCAAAGCTCTGATCTCAACCCAAAACCTAAATCTCACTGTTCTCACCTTTCTCTTGACTTCCCTCTCTTCAAAATCAAAGCTCACACATCTAAGCTAAACCCAAAAGCATATAGCTCTCTTGCTCAACATCCCTAACTTCAAAATCAGAAAAATGACACAATGAGCTGTGAGTTTTACAATTTATGTGTGGGTATTTTCATCATTTCACTTTGTGCATGAAGTGTGCATAACCGATTTGTCCTATTTTGATCCCAAGAACAAAAAAATGGCCCGTTCATGTCATTCCCCTTATTTTTGTGTGTGTAAGTTCTGTTTTGTATCTTAAGTTCTGTTTTGTATCTTCTCATATTTACTTCCCGTGTTTGGTTTGCAATCTTAGATAAGCAAATTGTTGCGTAAGGCAATTTTATGGAATAAGGAATGAAGAGTTTTTGGGTATAAAGTTATGTAATTGGTATCCTTGTAGATTTGGGATACTTGTTTCCTAATTTGTAGGAGATTGTATAAGTCTATATATTCCTCTATGTGAGAAAATAATATTAGAATAATATTCATCCAAAACCTAGAATTTTATCTTTGTGGATGACTACACCCTGAATGACATGGCTTTATACTATGAAACATAAAAGTGAGGTTGGGCAGATTTTTCACTAGTTCTACAGCATGGTTAAAAATCAATACTCTCTTCCCCTTAAGGTTCTCAGGTCGAATAATGGCGGGGAATATCTCAACACTGAACTCTCTCAATTTTTTCTAAAGCACGACATTCTTCATGAGACTACTTGCCCACAAACCCCACAACAAAATGGTGTAGCAGAGCCTAAAAATAGACATATTTTGGAAACTACTTGAGCACTCCTCATTGGTGCTCATGCTCCTCACTCCTATTGGGCGGATGCCGTTAGATACTCCGTTTATCTAATGAACTGAATGCCATCTCGAGTGCATAATTTTTGCACTCCTATGGAAGCTTTTGCTAATCATGTGACCTTACCATCTTCCCTTCATTTATCACCACGTATCTTTGGTTGTGTGGCTTATGTGCATCTTCACAAAAATCAGCGCAGTAAGTTGGACCCATGTGCAATTCGTTGTATTTTTTTTGGGATTTAATAATCAACAAAAAGGGTACCGGTATTATCACCCACCAACCAAGCATATGTACGTCACCATGGATATTACATTTTCCGAACATGAGATGTTTTTTCTCACTGAACACACCTACTATAATCTTCAGGGGGAGATAAGCACAAATGAAGATTATAGTTGGATTGATCTACCAACTGTACAAGTGGATGATACCTGCTGTGGTCCAACAGTGGTTCAAAATCATGAGCCCAGCAGCTGTGAGCCCAATATCTTGAGTACCCGTGAGCCTAACTTGAGGGGGAGTGTTGCGTGAGGCAATTTTAGGGAATAAGGAATGAAGAGTTTTTGGGTATAAAGTTATGTAATTGGTATCCTTGTAGATTTGGGATACTTGTTTCCTAATTTGTAGGAGATTGTATAAGTTTATATATTCCTCTATGTGAGAAGAATAATATCAGAACAATATTCGTCCAAAACCTAGAATTTTATCTCAAATAAGTTTGTAAAGGGATATACAGTCCCCAAACCTTTATTGGTCCTCAATAAAATGTCAAATACTGGATCATGATCTGTTATAACATATAGTTTTATTCAAGATGGGACATATCGTTTCCAAGAAGGGGAAGCCCGTGTTCAGCTTTCTATATACAAATGATCATTATTTTTCCTTCACCGTGACATGAAGCCAGGTATATATATGTATAAATATTTGCTGTATCATGGTGACCCTTCCTGGGACTGAGTTTCAATTGGTGTAGCACAACAATCGCAACAAGAGCCTTGTGGTGCCGGTGCGCAGCATACACAAGCTGGACATATAGGAGTTGTATCTGAAAAGCAAACCAAGTACAGAATCAACATTTTATACACATATGCAAATGTGCTTATGTTGGTTATCTAAGTTCGAATCTCCATTTTCGTAAATACAAACAGGTGCAGAGATATGAAATAATATAGGTCATGTGAATTACCTAGAAAAACGAATCGAGCTGCCTCTGGGGTTGAAATCGGAGAGAGTACGATGGCAAAGATGAAGAGGGTCACCAAAGCAGACCTCATAGAGCCACCTGTCATTAGTTCTATGTTATTAGAAAACAATAACAAACTTGTTGGGATGAGGTGTATTTGTAGGTTGGAGCGCGTTGTTTGAATAGGAAGGTTGATTTTTCTTCTCTAGTTTTTGGAATTAGACTTTGATGCAGCCCTTGTATGTTGACGTTCTAGAATTTGAATACTATTATATACCCCATTATTTAATTAATTAATTCCAGGATATTATTCGTGGATTATCAAACATAAGATTTGCAGATGATCCATAAATTGTCTAAGCTATAAAATCTATGAATACTGACAGGGTAGTTTATTACGGTTTGAATTTGAGCCACCTGTTAAAACATATGAACATGCATTAGTGTTGTTTGGCAAAAACATTTTCAACATATTATCACTCACTGTCAAGTCGTGGAGTGCATATCACTTCAATGGAATTGTCCCTAAACCCATAAAGTTGGTTTCCCTGCTGATGCTAAACCATAAAATTGGTTGATTGCTAGTGTTAACATTTTGATTAGCCAAACCCTATAGGACTTAGAATCTCTGGAGAGACTAGAAAATTAATCAGTTACCAACTCAATATAGAACTAATTAGTGTTTGGGCTCACTTCACAATATTTTCTCAGGATCAAAACCATATGTTTTAGATCTTCATTCAAAGATCACCATTACCATTCAAATCTATTAGAATATGATAAATTACTCCAGATTCTTATCCGTTATTAAAGGAATGTGATATCACTTGTAATTAATTTAAGATTCCTACCACATAAGGGTTTTCTCTAAACTCTATATATTGTAAACTTTGTACATAATTAATTTAAGGAGTCATATTTCTACAAAATCAGAAGTAATTTAGTCATTTGATTATTGTCATTAACATTTCTTGTGTTTTTTGCAACGCTGTGTTACAATTAGATATTGAAAATGTTCAGCAATGCTGAAGCGCAATAAGTTAATATCTTAATGTGGTTCTAATCACTCGTTTGACCTTGCTTCACTATGTAATCTTATGATATAAACCTCATACTTGCAAAAATTCATTTCAATCAGAAATTACTTAGCTCTTTAATTATTATTATTATTATGAGCATTTCATTGTTTATCGACAATTCTATCTTCGTCTATTTTTTGTTGAAGTACAGACTCCAAGCTCTTTACTTTCTTCAAAAATCATCAGAACCAATTTCAGATTTCCCAAAATGTAAATCTATTTTTGGGTGTTTGGTAGATTTTTTCAGTGGGTTTTCTGGGTTTCTTTTATTGTTTTTGAAATTACGGAGCATTTGATGAGTATGAAGGGATAGAAGTTGCTTTAATTAAACTAGGCCAAGCTCTACGATCTCCTGCAGTGCCCTGAAGATCTTGAGAGGCTCTACTAAATCCACCTCCTCAAAACATCGAAGCACATAAACATCATGAAGTTCTACACTTCCTCGGTTGATACTGCCAACAGAAACATCAATTTTGTCACTGACATGTTCGCCTTTGGGACCCTTAAGCAGTATGTATTTTGTGAGTTTTTTAATAAAATTTTTATGATTTTGTCACTGAAATGTTCACCTCGCTCACTGCGTTGATAATTGAATGACCCTTCCATACTATAATAATTGCTTCATAAATGATCATACTTGAATCTAATATGAGTGCCCCTATGCAAATTTTGTTGGTCTGTCAAGTAGATTGAAATAAGGGAAAACTATCTACTTAGAAGGCTAATATGTGTTTAGATTTCAATTCAATTTTATTGGAGTAGGGATACCAGAGTTCATGGCTCCTGAAGCATGTGAAGAGGGAAACGAAGAAGATGAAGAAGGAAGCAGTAAAACTCAGTTGGGTCCTCAATGCACTCTTAAAGAACAGATTGAGAAGGATATGGTGTGTTTTCTGCTCAAATATGGCAAAAAGTTGCTTCTTTTTACATCATTTAATTTTCTTTATGTCATTTTTATTTGCTGCATTGTTGGTTGACTTCGTCGTTTCAGGATGATGGAGACTTGGAGAGTTTGAGGGGGATGGAGCAGCTTCTTATGACTTTGAACCTTGACTTGTCAACAATTCCCTGTAAGGAAACAGAAATTCAGGGCTGCAAGAGTTGACCAAGAGAAAGGAACTCAATTACGCTAAGCCTGTATGCTTGTATTGACGAAGAGCGTACATGACCTCATCCGGTATGTAATACTTCCACCTACGAAGTACGGATACATCTATTAAAAAAAATCCCGATTTGGAAGCGCCGGGGATCCATCTATTAAAAGAATATAACATATAATTAATATACAAAATTGTACATATAGTATTAAGTTTTTTGTTTTTGTTTGAACGAATAATATTGTCTACACTAAAGGGTATGAGATAAGCTAACTCTCACAACGGGCTAGCAATAATGTGGTTCAAATTAGCCTTTAGAGAGAATCGAACTTAAGACCTGTCACTTACAAATGAAGAGGAATATTACTAGATCGTAGTACTAAGTGGCTTAACTTTAGGCTTAACAAGATTGACAAAACCCAAGACCAAATCTGGGTAAGAAAGAAAAAGTGAAAAACATCTCATTAAGTGGGCAGTTATTTCATATGGGCTAAAATAAATAGGCCTAAAACAAATTGGACTGGGGCTCCAACGGAAAAAAAATATGCAGGCTTGAAAGCACCCAACTCTCTGCAGGAGATGTGTAGTGTCATTGGGTTGGCTACAAGCTAGAGCCTTCTCAAAGCCTATATTATTGAGCTGGAGAACCAAAAACTCAATTAGGCCCAATTTTAGTGGGCTGACTGTGGATCGGTCTGTACAATCCAGCGAGGTTGGTCATGTGCCACCCGTCGGAAAAACTGACAGAGTTGTAGGTAGCCAGAGAAAAGCTATTGACGGCACTCCGCGATGGTTGTAGATCGAGGCCGTTGTCGTGGAGTCTCGAAGGACAAGATGACAAGATATGCAATTCAGAGGGTCAGAGACGATGGGGGATCTACGGGGATAGTCGTATTGGGTGTGGACACCCATGATGCGCCGGAAAATAGGGGGTTTGGGGTAGACATCATCGAAATGACGTGCGTTCTACAATTTAGGCAGCGGTTTGGCTTGGCGCGAGTGCGAGCTAGGGTTTCAAAATCCTTTTTTTCTTTCTTTTCCTAGCCAATTTCTACTTATTAGAGTGTTTTAAGCTATTTTCGTGTGTTTTCAGGTTCAAATGACAAAGTTGGCAAGAAAGTGAGATTTGGAGCATTTTGAAGCAGTTTTGGGCCAAGAATGGATAGCACATGCATGGAGCAAGGTGGATAGACGTTTTTAAAGTTAAAGAGGCTAGGAATGTGCTACAAATTTGGAAGAATCAAATCAAGACTTGGAGGATAAGGAATCAGCTAAAGAGAAGGAACATTATCCAAACCAACCTTATCTTATCCAACATTATCCAAAACCTTATCCTATCTTATCCTAACCTTATCCTAATCTACCTAATTTTTCCAGCTGCAAGGAGGGCATCTAAATGACATTAGGATACCTACAAATCAGGTTTCGAGAAGCCAAGCCCTATCCCTAAAAGGGTGCCTCATCCGCCCCTTCTAGAAGCTATGTTTCCTACAGCAAGGACCAATCATTTTCCTCCTTGGAATCTGAAAGAGAAGTGTCCTTTTTCCTTCTTGATTTGGAGTCCTGATTCCCCTCATTCTCAGCCTTTTGATGTGAAAATTATGTTGACACACAAATTAACCCTCTTTTTATCAATTGTAGCAAAGTATGTAAGTAGGGATCGTTCTAAACCGGGGATTAGGAGGGATTGCAAAATCACTTGAAAACTGACTCAAATACGTAAAAACAAGTTTAAAACACTAAACTAGACTCAAAGAATGCAAAAATAAACTTTAAAACACCAAAACAAACCAAAAGACTCAAAACAGCCCAAAAACACTCAAAACTGCCTTAAAACCACAATCTGGGCAGTTTTGAACACTAGACACAAACTTGGACGAAAATTGGTTTTAACTTGACCTAAGACACTTAAAAACAAAAACTAAAGTGATTTCTAACTACTATGACTCAACTAAGTAAAGGGGGATTGATTTTGGACGAATTTAACTTTGAAAACAGAAACTTTGAAAATAAACTTTGACAAAAACGTTTTGATGAAAACTAAGATGGTGAAAGGCTAGTTAGAAGGTTCCTTCTCCACACATGAAACATATGCATACGACTCGATTTCCAATTACTCTTTCAATAAACCTTGAATGACAATGCCCCAAATTAACTAGATTGACCAATTAATTCTCAGATTTCCCTAGATTCATTGAATTGAAAGGGATACGCATTACAACCAAATTATTCTTATCAAGAACCCTAACTATGGAATACGCATGATAGAGACACATATCAAAGATCATTAAGTTCAATGGAAATCATAAGCATTGACGAGGCATTCATAACTATGGGATACGCATGTTACTCTTGCCTAGGATTTACATAACACAATCGTGACTAGCGACTTTTTACTACTTATGAATATAAGTTAATAACGATTAGGTGAAATTCCCTTATACTCTAGCATCAAATTCATGCATGCAAACTAAGTGTCGACCCTCAATCAACATACATAAACATGTTATCAATCAAATAGATAAGTAAACCACATTCACGATTCATGAAATCATAATTGGAAGAAATCAAGTCATATAAAACATATGATCATGGCTTTGAATTCCCCTCTAACTATAAAGAAATTAGTTCCTCATGTTCGCAAACAAACAAAGATAAATAAATTTAAACATTGAAACAAAGATAGAAAACACCTAGAAACGCTCCGACAATCCAACGTCTTGAATGGCATGCATGGCTCCAAGTTGTCTTCCTTCTTCTCCTTGCAAACTCACGGCACAATGAGGGATGATTGGTGAATGGTGTAGTGAAAATCTGGTAGAGGGTGGTGAGTGAAAGGGTGCGGCAATGGGTTGTATATATAGGCTGAAAATCCCATCTCCTAGGTAGCAAAGGACAAGGTTTTAAAGGCCTAAATTGCATAGGATAATAACATCCAATCCTATAAGGAAAACAAGTCAAAAACCCAAAGGGATTGGGAGAT